CTGGCACACTTGCAGAATCAATTGCGCTAGAAAGAGTGCGTTTATCAATTTCGCAATGTAAGGCGGTGTACTTTGTCATCAAGGGTAAACGCATCTTTTCTAGCAAAGATGATTCTTTTTTTCGCGATACTTATAGTTATTTAAAGAAAAAGAAAGAATCGATTGCACCAGAAGGGTTGCGTTTACAGAAATGAGCACAAATTACACTCAAAGAACAAGTTAAAGCATAAAAAATTCTGCATTTTTCAAAAAATTTTGCTAAAGCTTTTTTAAAAATCACATTTCCTACCGTAAGGATCGATTTTTTTTGAATTAAAAATCTAGAAATTCCTTTTTTATAATCGTTTCTTTTCTTTTTCTCATTTATTTTTGTTTATATTTACAAATTTCTTTTGTTATTGTGAAATTTGAGAAAAGAAAGATCAAAAAAGAGATACGCTTTCGAATTATTAGTTTTTTTAGTTTTTTTTCTCATTTTCTTTTGTCTATTCCCTTTTTTTTGTCTTTTTTTGCAGCTAAACAAACAAACGAAATTTCAAAAACGTTTTTGGTTTGATTGGCTGAAATTTTCGAATCGAAATGGTTCTTGAAAATTTTGATTGTAAAATTTTCTACTTTCTAGTGCCAGAATCGATAGAGGTTGTGTTCTTTGTGCTCAAGGGTAAACGCATTCTTTCTAGCGCACTGAAATCTGCATCATTCTAGCGATAACGAGTCGATGTTGCAAGAAAAACCAAGAGCTTAGTGCGCTAGAAAGGATGCGTTTACCGTTGAGCACAAAGAACAACAAAGTCTTTGGTTTGTTGTACTTTGAGCTAATCAAACTTTCCATTTCTGGCACACTAGTTTCGCTAATTTCTTAACTGTTCAATGTGCCAGCTGGTGAATGTTTCTGTTTTTTGTTTCTGGCCAAATTTGGAAGGGAAAAACGCTCACTGAATACCAATTTTGCATAGCCAAAATTGAGAGGTTCAAATTCGATTTTTTTTAGAATTTGAAATGTACTCTTACTTTTTTTCTCTCAATAATAAACTTAAATCTAAATTTTTAAATGCAAAAATTTCCTTACAAATACTGTAATTCAAATGAAATTTTTGCTCTTTGATGACTTTCAAATTCTTTTTTTCTAAGCATTCAAATCAAATTCCCATTGTTTAGCTGAAGTTTTCTTTCTTTTATTTAATTGAATGAGTATTTGAATGAAATATTGTATCGAAATATTGTAATCATTTTTCATTGATTTCATTGATTACATCAATCATTGAGACTTTTCTAAACCAATGAGAATTTGGATATTATCATCATTCCATCAGCTAAACGGCTTTTTTGTTTTTTTCGCTAAATTATGACTGGTGTTGAAGGGTAAAGATTGTCAGAGATTCTAAAGGAAAAGAAACTTGCTACTTGACTTGCTCAAACTTCTTAAACGCATCCTTTCTAGTACACTGGGCTCTTTACTTTTCTTGTGATATCACCGTGTTGTGCCAAGAAAATGAGTGAAAGAGAAAATCTGTGTTTACAACTTTAAACATAGATTACTACTGTTTAGCTGATGTATCTGAGTAACTGAATCACTTAGAGGGGTAACAATCGTGGCCTATTCTCATTAAAAAAAGCGAACCCGGACTCGGTATTGGTTTCGATTGCTTAACGAATCTCGGACTCCGTTCATTTCGAACTCAGTATCGATAAGTTCCGAGGTCGATAAGATTCCGGACTCTTTAAGGCCTCGTTAAGCAGGTTTAGCTGTGCGTAATTGCAAGTGTAAATAGATTCAAGTTGTTTAATACCGAGACAAGTTGAAATAGGTTGAGCAATCGCACTTGAACATCCGCCTAGGCTTGATTAGCTCTCACAATCGCTTGAGATCTTGTCCCACTTTTCCCTTCTGTAAGTTCTGATAGAGAAAAATGAAATTCTAAGTGCTCTAGAAAATGTGTGTTTAGAGATTTACTGTTTAGCATTCGACTGAATGTCTAGTTGTTTAGAATGAAAATTTCTAGACAATAATCTAATGTAATTATTAAAGACGGGGGGTAATAATCCACCTATTCTCATTAAAAAAAAATTTTTTTTTCAAGTAAATTTATTTATTATGTGTTTATTTGTTAGATTTATTGTTAGAAATGATAAAAATAAATTGGAAAAATGAATTTGAATCGCGAAAATTCTTGAGCTTTCTTTTTTCTTTTGCTTTTTTTTCTTTTTCTTTTCTTTTGAACTAGAGAACTAGAGAAAAACATTCATTTTTCTAATTTATTTTTGTTATTTCTAGCAATAAATCTAACAAACAAACACAAAATAAATGAATTTACTTGAAGAAAATTTTTTTTTTTTTGATGAGAATAGGTGGATTATTATGCTGCAATTAGGCACAGCTAAACCTGCTTAACGAGCCCTTAAAGAGTCCGGAATCGTAACCGAAATCGATCTCGGAATACTGAATTCGATACTGAGCTCGGAATGAACGGAGTCCGAGATTCGTTAAGCAATCAAAACCAATCCCGAGTCTGGGTTCTCTTTTTTTAAGGAGAATAGGCCACGATTGTTACCCCTCTAACTGATTCAGTTACTCAGATACATCAGCTAAACACTAATAATCTATGTTCAAAATGGTAAACACAGATTTTCTCTTTCACAACCGATACCGAGTCCGGGTTCGCTTCTTTTCTTTTATTTTGTTTATTTAATTATTTTGATGGTAATTTTGATAACTAAAAGATGGTCCGTATCAATATCAATGACAGATTTTTGAAAGGAGGATCCTGACTAGGGTTCGTTTACTCGATCCTATCCTGACTCGTTTACTCGATCTTGACTCGTTTACTCGATCCTATCCTGACTCGTTTACTCGTTTTGTCTCGTTCACTCGATCCTGACTCGTTTACTCGTTCACTCTGTCATAAGTTGATTTCTTTATTTGCGTTCAGAAATCTGTGTTCGCATTTTTGTTTCGCCAAATCATAGTCACCATCCTGCTTTCAAAAATCTGTCATTGATATTGTTGATTTCCGATAAGCAGGTCTTAAGCTATAAGTCAAGAACACTTGTAAGTAGGTTGGATACCTGAGTGGGCTTAGATCAGTAAGAACGAGGGTTTAGCGAATGTCGATCATCTTTAAAGGAGCTAATCCGGATTCAAACTTCATGGCCTATCTGTTAAAAATCCATACCAGTATAGTCATTGATCAGCATAATCTTCTCACCAGTTCTACAAGCTCTACAAGCTCTACAATTTCTACAATTTCTACAATTTCTAGAAGTTCTGCAAGTTCTACAATTCCTACAATTTTCTACAATTCCTACAATTTCTACAAGTTTACAAGTCTCCCTTCCAAAGTTCCAGTGTTTCAAAAGCAGGGATGAATTCTGTAAATGTGTTGCACTTACCCGCCAAATCTTTACAATCAGCACTTCTCTAGTCATCAAATCTTTTGAAAAAGGAAAAGAAAGAAGAAAGAAAAGAGAAAAAGAGAAAAAAAAGCTTAGTTTTCAGATAAGAACTACCGTTTCCTGGGGAAAGAATCTTTTTTTTGCAAAAGAATCCCAAACCCAACCCCGTTATCAGTTTTGTGAGAGAAAGAAGAAAAAAACTGAAAAAAAGATCGAGAAAAGTTTTCCTTTTTTCTCATTCTACATTGCGATAAAAGAAGAATTGTTCTTTCTTTTGGCTTTATTTTTGAAATTTTTGAACATATACAAATCATTTTACAATCGCTTGAACTTTACTTTTAAATTTTTCAAATTTCTCAGTCTTTGAAATCTTTGAAAGAGATCTTTTTTCCAATTTACTCTAAGAAATTTGTGATTTTTGCATTCAAAACGATCAAATCCATGTATTTTTAACATTTTTTAGCTCATTCAGCTCATTCTAGTACATTCTAGTACATTTTTTTTATTTATCTGGATTTGATCGACTCCCCAGAGTTTTGAGAAAGTCCAATAGTCTCGAAACCTTTAAATTATCTGTAGATAATCTTGATCTTGATCTTGAAGCTCTAGTGGATCCTTGACGTTATCTGTGCTACCCATATATTGCTTTATCTGTAGATGATCTTGATCTCGAAGCTCTAGTAGATCCTTGACGTTATCTGTGCTACCCATATATTGCTTTAGCTATAGATGATCTTGATCTCGAAGCTCTAGTGGATCCTTGACGTAAAGCTTCTTTTGTCTCTAGTCGTATCCTAAAAGCAATTTGTTATCCGAAAATTGACACTTACAGAAAGTGTTTCATCAATTACGTTAGACCCATTCTAAAGTATGCATCTATAGTTTGGTCTCCACATACACAAGTTGAAATCTCTCGCCTAGAAAAAAATCCAGCAGAGATATCCATAGATAGCTCTATGGAAAATAGATTTTTCCAAATTTGCATACTTTAGTTACACAGATAGACTCAAAATTTTTGATCTTAAATCTCTTAGACACCGCCGCTTGGTCACGGATTTAATAGAATGTTTCAAAATTGTAAAGGGCAGGCAACCTATCCCTCTTTTTCGAGATTTATTCAAAGTTAATCCCACGGTTAATTCAAGGAGAGGTTCTTTCGTTAGAAATTCTTTCGTTTTAGAAATTCTTAGTTTTAGAAATTCCAGTCACCTCCAATAAGTTTGTTTATAATTCTTTTCCAATAAGAACTGCCAGAATTTGGAATCGACTCCCCAGAGTTTTGAGAGAGTCCAATAGTCTCGAAACCTTTCAATTATCTGTAGATGATCTTGATATTGAGCTTGATCTTGATCTTTAAGCTCTAGTGGATCCTTGACGTTATCTGTGCTACCCACATTTTACATATATTATATCGTGTTTCTTTTTATCGGCCCTTTTCGTGTTATGTGTATGAATTGATGTGTTTTAATCTTAAATCTAGCGCACTTTATCTCAGGACTCTAGCTCAGGTCCTGAATAAAGTATCTATATATTTATTCAGCAATGAAATGGTCGCAATACCTGAGAATTTTTACGTTTACTTAATTCAACCGCTTGGCATCGATTCAATGAATCATCTGAAACTAGGTGAATGCTATTTTTTTCATTTTTTAATTTTAATTTTAGAAAAAGAAACGAAAAAGGCAGAAGAATCTATTGAAAAATTGTCAAAAATTGAAGAAAAAGCAGAAATTGAGGAAAAAGCAGCACCAATTCAAGTGAAAGGATCATTTTCGATTCCACAAGTGAGTAAAAGTAAAGTAAAGTAGTCGAGAGTCAGAAATTTAGATATTTAAAAGATATTTAAAGGTAAATCATTGGATCTTCTATTGTATTAATTTGAATTTAAAGATTTGCAAGTCTTTAAGTTTATTATTGAAGATTACTATTGAAGATTACTATTAAAGATTACTATTCTAGATTACTATTAAAGATTACTATTAAAGATTACTTACAAGGGAACTTTCCCAAGTTATCCGCGAGTTACAATATGAGGTACACTACTGGACAATGAAATATGATATTTGAAAAAGATCGTCACTTTCGCGCGTCTATAAATCCCTTGTCTTTACCGTATTTCTAAATATTAATATTACCATTGTGTAGCCCTTGAAAAGAGCTTTCAGAAAATGTACAACACTAATAGTTTAAACTCAAAGACAACAGAGTTACAGACGCGCGAAAGTGACGATCGTTTTTCAAATATCATATTTCATTGTCCAGTACTGTAGGTGCAAAAAGAAAGGCCTGAAAATGTACGTTCAGAAACTGTTTTCAAAAAGCGCTAATCGGCAAAACGCACAAAGTTACAGCCATTTGAATTTCGAAAAAAATGAAGGCTTTTCTTGAATTTCTGGCATAATGATTTTTGCCAGCTTTCCTTTCGCCATCCTAAAAGTCAGCTCGTAGCCTAGTGGTTAGTGTGCCTGCGCTCGGAACTCTTTGATTTTGGTTCGGATCCACTAGCAGTCAAACGACTGTAGACGGATTAAACGGTTTTCTGCTTAACCCACAATAATCGACTATAAACACCTTTCTTTATCACTCACCGTCGGACATTCGCTCGTGGCTGCAAAGCGCCACTGGGGAGTTGCGTGAGATTTGCGCAAACGTGGCAAGAAAATATGAATCCAGCTTGAATAGCAGTATTATATTGATTCCGAGCGGATGCACACTAACCACTAGGCTACGAGCTGACTTTTGGGATGGCGAAAGGAAAGCCTTTTAAAAGGAAAGCTGGCAAAAATCAGTGTGCCAGAAATTCGAGAAAAGCCTTCATTTTTTCGAAATTCAAATGCCTGTAACTTTGTGCGTTTTGCCGATTTAGCGCTTTTTGAAAACAGTTTCTGAACGTACATTTTCTGGCCTTTCTTTTAGCACCTACCTCATCTTGTAACTCGCGGATAACTTGGGAAAGTTCTGTTGTTAGCTAGCTTCAAGCTTCAAAGTCTCGATTGCTATAGAGTTCGTCTCAACGTCAAACCACTGTAATCGAACAATTTCCATTTGATCAGCTCAATTTTGATATAATTGAATGAGCCTTAGCTCATATTGTAACTCGCGGATAACTTGGGAAAGTTCCCTTGTAAGTAATCTTCAATAGTAAGCTTAAAGACTTGTAAATCTTTAAATTCAAATTAATACAATAGAAGATCTAATGATTTACCTTTAAATATCTTTTAAATATCTAAACTTTTGACTCTCGACTACTTCAAGCTTCCAAGTCTCGATTGCTATAGAGTTCTTCTCAACGTCAAACCACTGTAATCGAACAATTTCCATTTGATCAGCTCAATTTTGATATAATGGAATGAGCCTTATGATTCCTCATCGAATTTGACCAAAATTCCGCGTCAATAAGAACAATTTGTAGTTGGTTAGGCTTTCCAGAAAGTTTTTTCATTCCTTTTCGTTTCTTTTCCTACTTCTGTTTTGAACGTTCTTTTTGATAACTCCTAGGCGCCAATTTAAACCTTAATTTGTTAATTATTATATGAGATTTTTAAAGCTCTTAATCTTAGCTACATTTATCTCTTAGAATCTTCTCGATTGAAGATATACAAATCATTTTACAAGCTCTTGAACGAGTGTTTGTTGACCCAAAACTGCGATTTTCTAATGGCTTGTAAAATGATTTGTATATCTTCAATCGGGAAACTTTTAAGAGATAAATGTAGCTAAGAATAAGGGCTTTAAATATTTCATATAATAATTAACAGGTTAGGGTTGAAATTGGCGCTTGAGAGCTAATCTAAGAAAAAGAAATCGCTGAACATCACTTGGCTTCATTGTTCAATATTTGGTTTTTAAAAAATGTCATTTGATTGACTTTTAGCATAAAATTTACTTAAATTAAGTTTATTTTGTAGATAGATTTTCGATTTTTCTGTTTAACGAAAGAATTTCGAAAGAAGTTTAGTTCCTCGCAGCTTCGGCAGCGAACCAAGAGCTTTTGAGGCAAATGGGCAAATGGCAAATGACTCACTTTTCTCAGCCTCAATTTCCCAGCACTTCAAATGGGTTTGTTTTGTTTGTTTTATTGAAATCTTGTTTGTACAATTGGAAAATAGTCATTGTACGATTGTTCTATTGTACAATTGCAATTCAATTCTATTGTACAATTGCATTCATTTTCTTTTCAAGTTAAATCTTCATCTTTCAGCTTCTCTCCAATCGCTCTCCGCTCTCCTTTCACTGGAATTCATCCACACCTGCAAATGCCTCAATTTTCAGTGGGTTACTTTAGAGATTTTCGATTATTTGTAGAATTGTTCGAACTTGTTTGGCTTTAATGGAATTGAATGCCTTTAAAATTGTAGATTCCAAATGGACACCAGCCAAGCACATCAAATTTTCCGTTTAATGGCCTCATCTCTCCCACAACTCTTCCCATTCACTTATCGCCAACAATAAGAAATCATGGTTTGTTAAAGATTTGTTATAGATTAAAAATTTAGATTAAATATAATCAAATTTTTAGACCAGTCATCTTCTCAACTATCAACATCAGCATCAACATCAGCATCAACATCAACATCAGCATCAACATCAACATCAACATCAACATCAACATCAACATCAGCATCAACATCAACATCAAAAGAAATCTGCAACTCGCTTCCAAGTAATGAAAAAAGGAAACGATCGAGAATCAAGGTTTGCTTTGGGAAATTTTGGCTGAGTTGGGTTGGGCCAGGTAAAACAAGAATCTAGAAGAATCTAGAAGTCAAATCCAGACTAGATTAGAGTCAGTTTCTAGCCTAGCCTTGGCCTTGAATCCTGACCGGTCATGGATTCAGGAGCCTGAGTTCAGGATTGGCCCAGGCTTGGTCCGGATCTGGTCAATGTTCTGGCCTAATCTGGAAACCCGGAATATTGAAACTAGTCCAGAAACTAAATCTAGATTAGTATTAGGGAATCGGTCAGGGTTCAGGGTAGAACAGGGTTCAACTTAGGCTTAAAAAAGTCCAGTTAGTCCAGTTGGTTCGATTAATGTTCAGGCTAGGTGCTTTGGCAGGGTTCAGTTGATTGGTTTTGAGGTCTGGTTTTGAAAAATTAGATTGAAAAATTGATTTGGAATCTGGTTTTGAAAGCTGGCTTTGAAGTCTGGCTTTGAAGTCTGGCTTTGAAGTCTGGCTTTGAAAGCTGGCTTTGAAGTCTGGCTTTGAAGTCTGGCTTTGAAAGCTGGCTTTGAAGCTGGCTTTGAGCTGGCTTTGAAAGCTGGCTTTGAAGTCTGGCTTTGAAGTCTGGCTTTGAAAGCTGGCTTTGAAGTCTGGCTTTGCAGTCTGGCTTTGAAGTCTGGCTTTGAAGTCTGGCTTTGAAGTCTGGCTTTGAAGTCTGGCTTTGAAATCTAACTTTGAAATCCTTAGTTCAAAACAGCTTTGTACTCTTTCAGATCCCAGAGACTCCCATTCGAAAGGAAATCGAAGAAAAAAAGCCATTCATCTTATTAGTTGATAAAGCCGATGGACCGAATGGAGTCAATAAAAAGCTTGAGAAACTTTTCCCATTTGGAAGTGGAATGGCTATTGTGAAAGTTGGTAGTAATATTGAATTTTGTCGTAATATAGAATAAAACTCGAATGCTATTGGTATGGTAATGCTTTCAGCTACTCAACATTGTTCAACCGCCAGAGTTTGAAGTGAAAACGGATTGTTTCGTGAAGCTGGCAGAGTCGAGCTCACTTTCGACCAAATCAAAAGTTGGTTTAAAATCGTAATTCTAAATGTAAAAATGTGCAATCTAATGCCAGAGAGCGTCTATTGTAGTCTATTGTAGCTGCTTTAATTTGTACTAACGATTATTTTGTAATGTCAAGTATTTAAGGATTTTTTTTATTATCGTTCAGGCAAGTCGTTCTTAAACTAGTGTTCTTTTGTCATCGACAACCCGATAGCCACAGTTAACGACTACGCGTTTGTACGCCAAAAAAATGCTGTGTTAATGTTAGTTAAATGATTACCGTATTTTCTCCAATAGTAGTGTACTCGGGCGAGCCGAGTTGGTCACGATTTTACAGCTTTCAAAGTTTTCACACAAGCTCAACACTCAAATCCCCCACTAGATCTCATCGTCAGCTACATTTTCCGACCTCACGTCGATAGGTTCTGACAAATTATCCAAATCCTATCCAAGGACCAACTCCAGCTTTTGCCCAATCATTTCCTTGAAACTCATTTCCCCATTTTTCGACCCCACATCGATAGGGTTTGATAAGTTACGATCGTATCGATAGGTTTACGAGATTTCGAGGAATTTAGGCGACGCTCATGGTGCACTACTATTAGAGAAAATCCGGTATTTTCATTATGGCTTTTTTTTTCAGCGTAAACGTCATCCTTGCGAGAGTCGGCACGATTTTTCGCTGAGCCAAAGAAAACGAATGTCAGAAGTTTATGGAGAGTTCGTTAAAGGAAATCTTGCGAAAGAAAAAGTTGAAAAAGTTGAAAATCAGCAAAAAGTTGAAAATGAAAGAAATTTTCTCAAAAAAAAGTGATCTCTAAATCGAATTTTGTTCGAATTTTTGTTATTTTTCATTTTTTACGGGTTTTTAGCAAATGTTTATTGATTTTTTGTTGATAAATTTGCATATTTTGACCTGATTTAAAGAAAAGATAAAGAAAAGATAAAGAATGAGGGTTTTTAGGGTTTTAAAATCAAAAAACGAGTTTTTTTAAAAGCACCGTCATGAAAGGAAAACAAGAAATTGCAGAGCATTTGAGCAAATCGGCGAAGCAAATTTCGAGTGCACTTTTTTGCTTCAAAAAATTCAAAAAACCTACAATCTTTCTGGCGTAAACTTCAAACGAAAACTCAAGTTCTCAATGAGTTTTTTTGTGAAAATCGTTACGCTAGAAGGAGGGTGTTTAAAGCACAAAGTACAGCAGGAAACAAAGTCGAACTTCTCTACAGAGGCGTCTAAAGTTGGCCCAGGTCCTCGACTCCTCGACCAACTTTAGACGTCTCGTTCTCAGTCCCATTTTAAGATATTTATATGTTTAATATACTAAAAGATAGAAGACATTAAGGGCTATCTTTTAGTATATTAAACATAAAAATATATTAAAATCGGACTGAGAACGAGACGTCTAAAGTTGGTCGAGGGTCGAGAGTATAGAAATTTTTAGGCCCCTTTGCTCTCGTTATAAAGAAGCTCGACTGTACACTGTGAAGCTAAAAGAATACGATAGATAGGCGAAGATTTAAAGATTTAATCATTTAATCAATTGTTATTTGTCATCTTTATCGTCGAAACCTTGAGTCAATATAAACAGGTTGATCTTCTCCAGTAGTGATGACGTTTATCTGAAAAAAAAGTTGATTCTGATTTGTCAAACCGAGCAAAATCGACCTGAAATCTATAAAATTTGACTATTTTTATCTTTAGATAGGTCTTTAGATCATTGTTTTAAAAAGGAATTTGTTTTTTTGAAGTGTATTTTTGAAGTTTTAATGCTTTTTTCAATCAAACTCAAACTTCTTTAACTGGATGAAAACTGGTTGCTTGATTACAGTTTGTCTAAAAGACGAATCTGATTTGCTACCGATTCTCGATTCTCACCGAATTCTTGTCAATCTCTTGTCTGTCTAAAAGACGAATCTAGCTATTGATTCTCACCGAATCTAGCTACTGATTCTTCTCGATCTCTCGAGTTTGTCAAAAAGACGAATCTAGTTACTGATTCTCACCGAATTCTTTTCAATCTCTCTTGTCTGTCTAAAAGACGAATCTAGCTACTGATTCTCAAAGAGTTCTTCTCAATCTCTCTTGTCTATCAAAAAGACGAATCTGATTTGCTACTGATTCTCACCGAATTCTTCTCGATCTCTGTTGTCTCCACTTTCCCCAACATAGCAATGTTTCGACTCAGCTCTTCCTAAACATTTGGAAATCCTTTGTTTTTCAATTTTTTTCAAAATTTTCAAACCATTTCTAATTCTACTGGGGTTTTCGGTCGAACGGTTCTTTGATTTTCTGTCTGAATTTGTTTTGAAGTGATTCGTTTTCTTCTTTCTACATTCGTCAACGTTTTTCGTCCGTCTTGTCTTCTGATTGAGAGTTTTGAGAGGCCAACTCTGAAAAGATCAGAACAAGGATTTGAAGGTTAGAACTAGAAATCAGAATTAGAATCAAAATCAGAACTAGAATTAGGACTTAGAAATAGAACTAGAAATAGAACTAGAAATCAGAACTAGAATCAGAACTAGAATCAGAATCAGAACTGGAGTCAGAATCAGAACTAGAGAGAGAACTAGAACCAGAACTAGAACCAGAACTAGAACCAGAACTAAAATCAGAACTAGAATCAAAACTAGTATCAGAGCTACAGAACTAGAATCAAAACCAGAATCAGAACCAGAATCAGAACCAGTTTTAGGTTTAAGAATTCGATATAAAGCTTCGAGTCTTGAGTTAAAAACCTAAATCCTCACTCTTTCGGTGTGTGATCAAAGGTTTGCTGAAGAGATGTGGCGCTGGTTAAACTGAAATTGAGCTAAATAAGTACTTTAACTTAAAGAAAACGCTTGTTTTGCGCATAGAAATCACATTTTAAAGCTTCTTTAGCTTATTTGCTTGATTAGAGTTGATAAAGTCGACTCACAGCTTTTGCCCGAGCCCCAGAAGCTTTGTAGCAGTTTGTGTAGGCGCTTTCCATCGAACATTCGAATCAGGAATCGACTCCAAATGACTCAATTGACGAATTTGTGGCTTTTTTCGCTTATCGCCTTTCTCTTTCTGAACAGTTGAAAACTTTGACAGATGTTACTTTACTCATTTTCTCCCCGCCCTACCACATGGCCGCGTGGCGCAATGGATAACGCGTCTGCCTACGGAGCAGAAGATTGAAGGTTCGAATCCTTCCGTGGTCGAAAGCTTTTGCTTTTGTTGTCGAAAAGAAATCTTAATCTTAAAGACGTGTTCGGGAGCTTCGATTCTCAACTTTTCGAATCAAATTGGATTCTCAACTTTTCATGGAGCACTTTGAGACCAATATGATGATATGATCAATATGGTCAATTGGACAAATGACAAATGGACAAATGTAATTGAAAGTACTCTTAAGTACTGTTTGAAAGTACTCTTAAGTACTTAAAGTACTGTTTCTAGTTAGAAGAGTGAAAGAAATTGCTTTTTTCGTACAAACCTTTGTATCAAACACATATTCAATAGCTTCATTGAAGATATCAGTTAGAGTTTGTCTCGGGAATTCGTTTCCTTGATTTGCTTGATTCGCCTTATTGTTTGCAATTGTTTCTAGAATTTTGTTGAATGAAAAAATGATGTTTTCAGGTCACCTAAAACAGCAGGGGGTAGTTGAGGTCGTGGACCCATTTGTGCGTCAGTGATTGGTGCTGAAAATGGCTTGATTTCAATGCTAATTTCAATACTAGTCTTACAGTATTTCTTAAAACGATTTCTACCATACTAATGCCAATTTTTTTGGCTTAAAACATGAAAGATTTACCATAAATCGGTTTTGGCGTAGTGCTTCGTCGTCTAAATTGAGAAATAGTCGCTGATCGGTTGGGTATTGTGCTGTGAGCGTAATTTGTAGCATATGGAGGAAATATTGTGGTGAATTGAGAGTTGGTTTGGATAGTTTTTCGATATTTTTGTCGTTGATGCTTTTCCGGTTTTGGCGGTAGATTCTGGAAGGATTATTGGGTTTAAGAAGTGCTTGAGAGCTAAAGCTGAACAAGCTGAACAGGCTAAAGCTGAACAGGCTGAACAGGCTGAAAGCTGAACAGGCTGAACAGGCTAAAGCTGAACAGGCTGAACAGGCTGAACAGGCTAAAGCTGAACAGGCTGAACAGGCTAAAGCTGAACAGGCTGAACAGGCTAAAGCTGAACAGGCTGAACAGGCTGAACAGGCTAAAGCTGAACAGGCTGAACAGGCTGAACAGGCTGAACAGGCTAAAGCTGAACAAGCTAAGCTAAAGCAGATTAAAATTGATAATCTACATCCGTAGTACAGTAGAAGTAAGCTTTAAATCATTCGAAAAGTCTTACCACAAAGTTTTGAGAGCTCTCCTTTTTCACGAAACTCCTTTGTTCCCCTTTGGTGTCCCCGTCAACGCCTCGGACTTGCCGATCCTGAATGAGGCTAGTTTTTGGATCTTTTGGTGGTTAGAAATTGAAAATCTGAAATTGAAAATCTTTTCTAACTCTTGAAATAGATCTGAAATTTGGAACAAACCCTAGTCAAAACTCTTGTAATCACGTCACTCATTTTTGGCTGTTCTCTCTTTAGGCTGACCCTTCGACGTCGATTTCTTCGGTAACGACGAATCGGGTTCGAGTTCTAGAAATTCAAGAGATTCTAGAGATTCTAGAGTTCTAGAGTTTCAAGTTCCAAGTGTACAAGCACTCTTTCTGAACAGTGAAAACTTTGATGTTACTTGACGAATTTGTGGTTTTTTTCTCTTATCGAGTTTCTCTGACAGGGATTACTTTACCCGTTTTCCCCTCACCCGCTCACATGGCCGCGTGGCGCAATGGATAACGCGTCTGCCTACGGAGCAGAAGATTGAAGGTTCGAATCCTTCCGTGGTCGAGACTTTTGCTTTTTTGTGCAAACATTTATGTTAAAAGTTGTAGACTGTAGCTTTAGTCTCAGCTTTGGGCTTGACGCAGATATTGGTTTGACTCAGATATCGGTTTGACAGAAAGTCTTTCTTAGGCTTAGAATAGAACATTTTTTACTTAATTTCCGTGTACAAGTTTTCAAAATCAAAGTCAAATAATGAAATAATGAAAATTTGAAAACCTTTGCCAAAGTTGGCGTTTTTCGGTCTCTTCTCCTCAACCATCGTGCTTTTCTCACGAATTTTCTCTTTCTTAGCCGTTTTACGTGCATCGTTCCACCGATTTTTCCATCTTTTCGCTGCCTTGGGGGACCCTGAATGGTTTTTCTTCTTGAAAAAGTTCAACAACAATATTTTAACAACAATATTCACTTTAAAGCCAATCAATAAAGCTCGAGCTTCAAGACTTTCAACTCTTCTAGATTCTACTTTTGTCATATTTAAATCTATTTAAATCAAAATTTAAGTTAAAGCCTGAGTTTCGTTTAAGCATTGCATAGACTTCGTTTAAGCATAGACTCTAAATGTTTTCAAAATCAGCTTTTCTTATAGCATGCAAAAGTTATTCAAAGCTTATTTGATTGATTTGAGGTGAAAAAATGGATTCACAGCTTTTGCCTAAGCTTCAGGAGCTTTTAAACTAGGTTTTTACTTAGTTTACTGCAGTTTTCCAGTAGACTAAGTAAAAAAAAAAACTCTATCCATTAGTATTTCAATATTTTAGTCAGTATTTTTATTTTAGTTGATTTTCGTTTTCATTTTCCTTCATTTTCTTTAAATCTTTTTCCATTTTATTCAAATTTTTGTCCATTTTATCCTATTTAAATTTTATTTTTTCAGCTTATCGTTAATTTAACGATAAGAGTTAAATTAACTCTTAAATGCTGCAAGCTCTCTTAAAGACAGTTCAGGCAAATCCCCGACTCAGCTCCTAGAGGAAAACTCTAGGAGCTGAGTCGGGACTTCTTTTTAGAAAATCATTTTACCTCAGCTCCTAGAGTTTTCCCGACTACACTTTCGGTATCAAAAAATATTAGATTTCAAGGGCTATCATTTGCCACCAAAGCGCGCACTGTAGCTTAAAGCAGTGCCGAGAATGGGACGTTCAAAGTTAGACTACACGACTCTACGCTCGTCATTTTAGAGGTGGCATTCTATTAGAGTATTTACGACAATTTCCCGAAGAGCTTGCAGCACCCTAAGCCTAAGCCTAAGCCTAAGCCTAAGCCTAGCCTGACCCTGGGTCTAAGCCTAAGCCTAAGCCTAAGCCTAAGCCTAAGCCTAAGCCTGAGCCTAAGCCTAAGCTTGCAGAACCCAGCACCCAACCCTGGCCTGCCTAAGTGCATCATTACTGCATCAAATGCTTAAAAAGTCAAATGTAGACACGCAAATTTGAATACGAAATCGCCAAAAAGCATTGATTTTGCATTAATTTCGAGGTCGAAAAAGTAAACCGTTAAATTTGAAGTAATAAAGTGAGAAAAGAAAGATTTCCGAAGTCGATTTGGATTCCTTGATCTTCTTCCAAAAGGAAGAAGATCAAGGAGTCCAAATCCTTCCTTTTGTAACCCCCAGGCAACTTTTCAAACTATTTTTCACCGTATTTTGCACTCCGCGCACAGCTCGCTCCATCATCGATCGCTTTTTCATCGTCAGTTTTGGTTTGACGAATCGTTGAGTGATTGTTGTTGATGCTGTCCTTGTCGGTAGAGGAAGAGGTGGAGAAGTTGTTGAAGGAGTTGGAGAAGAAGTTGTTGAAGAAGAAGTTCTTCTAATCTCCTAAAAATAAAACTTTCTAAACCTAAAAACTCTCATTTACTTGAGTTGTTTGCTGATCAATTGATGCCGCAAAGATGTCCACCGGATTTCTCAAAAGATTTGGGTTACAAAAATTCGAGAATCTTTTCGGTTTACCTATCCAAGAACTTCAAAAGCTCTTCCTCTTCGTCACCGATTTGAAATCTCTCGAAAGTATTCAAAGCATCACTTTTTGCGTTTAGATTCATTTCTATCGGTTTTTGTGTTCTGTCTTGAGCTTGATCCAGATTGACGTGAGTTCTGAAAAAGGAAATTTTTGAGTTACCATAAAGTGAGCTGGATCTGCAACAAAATCATTATAGAATCAAGTGAACTTTGTGCAAACTAAACGCATCCATTCTGGCGTGGATTCTTTCATTTTTCTTTATATGAGATGAGAAATCGGTTCGCCAGGAAGGATGTTGCCATCTTTGGGCTTAAAGTTAACACCTGTAAAGGAGATTTGTCGTAAACGCTCTCTTGCATCACAGTTAAGCTCAAATCTGGAGATGGAGAGCTCTACCATAATCAAGCTCTACATTAGAAGTGGAAAGCTCTACCAGAATCCAGCTCTAGTCTAGAAATGGAAAGCTCTACCCTAGTGAAGCTCTACCCTAGGACCCCTGGCCCCTAGTGAAGCCACCCAGTGAAGCCTCCCTCAAACCACCCTGCAAGCCCCCTAGTGAGCCCCAGGGCAGTGAGCCTTGTCAAACTCTACCCTTGTCAAGCTCTACCCTTGTCAAGCTCTACCCTTGTCAAGCTCTACCCTTGTCAAGCTCTACCCGAATCAAGCTCTACCTTAGCCAAGCTCTACCCGAATCAAGCCTAGTTTGTCCTGGAAATTGTTCTAGAACAATCATCAACAATCAACCCACCGTCTAATATGAGCACTTGTTGTTGGTGCAAGTGGTTGTTGTGTTGTTGACGGGAGACCAGCTGCCGCTTCCATAATCGCTTTCATTTCATCCTCTGTAGCCTCGACTTGTGGTGGGAAGAAAGCTTTCTGAATGGAGTTAAGTAAAGCAAAAGATTATCAAAGAATTACTCGTAATTCTTCAACAATTGCTGATGTTGTGACTTCTTTATCACTCGATATGGTGGTTTTTTTCTCTTCTAACAGCTCAGCATCCAATTGTTTCATCATAGCGTTTACCTTAGCGATCGTTAAAATCGTTAAAAGATAGAGAATAAAGAATGAAATCAAGATAAAATCAAGATACCTGACGATCAAGGAATTTGCTGGATGGATCAAGAATTGAAATGGAAAGCTCTACCCTAGCCAAGCTCTACTCTGGAGATGGAAAGCTCTACCCTTGTCAAGCTCTACCCTAGTCAAGCTCTACCCTAATCAAGCTCTACCCTAGTCAAGCTCTACCCTAGTCAAGTTCTACCCTTGTCAAGCTCTACCCTTATCAAGCTCTACCCTAGTCAAGTTCTACCCTTGTCAAGCTCTACCCTTAGTCAAGCTCTACCCTAGTCAAGCTCTACCCTAGTCAAGCTCTACCCTTGTCAAGCTCTAAGAATGAAATCAAAATACCTGACGATCAAGGAATTTGCTGGATGGATCAAGAGGCTGAATTTCGAAGAATTGATGATAAAAAAGCGTTTTGAAATCACCTCAACGATGATTGATGGATGACGGGTGGTTGGTGAGATCCATGATGGGGAAAGGGTTTCTAAAAGCCGAATAATCTTGTAATATTGCAATATTGCAATGAATTGAATGGCTTGAAGAGAAAATTCTGTAATCTTCTTCGATCTTTTCATTCTTTATCTTCTTTTTATTTAAACTTTTTGTCATTCCAAAACTAGAAATCTCTAAGCTACAAAAGCAAACTTTAAACGCCTGTAAAAACGTGTAGAATAGTTCTTTTTATAAACTCTTTTTAGCAAACGATTAAGCCAAATTTGGGCTTTTAAATGACATTAAAATCAGCTCAATTTCCTCCGATAAAGTACTATTTACAGCATTTTTTTAGTCTCATCTTTGGGATTCGACGATCAACTTGGAAAAAAGGATAAATTTCAGTGAAGAGATGATGAATTCAGGGGCTCTTGGTGTCATTCAAAAGCCTAAGTTTAGCTCAATTGTTTGCTAAAAACAGTTGATAAAAATCGCTATTCTATACGTTTCTACAAGTGTTTAAAGTCTGGTCTCGTTTACAGTTACCGTCTTCTCGACAAACCTCTTTCAATCGGCATTTCCTTTGTGCCAGACGTCATCGACTAAACCAATTTCTTTAAGCTTTTAATGAATAAATATCAAATACAAAAGTAAAATCGAATTATCATTACCAAAGCATCGATATTCTGTTTGACACGCGAGATGAAAACGGGAGTCATTCGACGCCAATTCTCGATGTTTGAATTGATTAAACTTTGCTTTGTTGTGCTTTCTTCTATCGACCTTTCTTCTATCGAGCTTTCCATCAAAATTGGTTTACTTGAAGGAATTGTTGGCTAAAACATCGATTTCTTAATAACAATGTTGATTTAAAAGACAAAAAACTCAATCTATTGGATTGGTGAATTGAAAACTGCGGGCTATTGTCAGATGTGACAGTTTGAGCACTTTCTACAAAAGAAACCCATTTTGGTGTCAATGGAAAAGTTGTAGAGAATCAAAAATTAGGCTTATATCCAAATTTCCAAAAAGATACACTTAGTAGTTTCGCTTAAAATTTGTGTTTCTGTGTGTTCTTTGTGCGACCGCGTAATCGCTTGTCGTCTGGCGCAGGGCTTCTACATAACCCCCTTCCCTCTCCCTTTCCGAAACTAATCTGACTGGCTCTGAATCCTCAAATTGGACATTGACTTCTCCTCAAATCAAGGCTAATCTCAATGTATTGGATCGGTGAATTGAAAACTGCCATCGATTGTCATATGTGACAGTTTGAGCACTTTCTTCAAAAGAAACCCATTTTGGTGTCAATGGGAAAGTTGTAGAGAATCAAAAATGAAGCTTATATCCAAATTTTCAGAACGATTCAAAAACTGGTTTTCAAGAAATACCAAATTTACGAAACTTTCACAAAACTTGCATTTTAAGCGAAACTACTAAGTGTATCTTTTTGGAAATTTGGCTATAAGCCTAATTTTTGATTCTCTACAACTTTTCTATTGACACCAAAATGGGTTTCTTTTGAAGAAAGTGCTCAAACTGGGACATTGGGACATCTCCAGTCTCCAGTCCTCCATTTTTGAGTCTCACACTTGTCTCACACCAAATCTGTCTCAGCAAAATCCTACTACGAAAGAGGAATCCGCAAATTGCCTCTAAAAGTCGGCAGAAGTCGTCAATAATAATGGAAATTATTTGGAATGAATTCATGTTGAAGAAATTTGAGTTCAAAATTCCGCAGTTTTCAATTGACCAACCCAATACAAAGAAAAAGATCGAGTAATTTTTAGAAACAGAAACCATTTAGTTTTATCATTTCGTTTAGTAGATGAGGTGAGTGAAAGATTCGAATGAAAATAAGGGTTAAAATTTGAGTTGAAACTCTCGAATTTCTACAATTTATGCCTTTCACTCTTTCTACTCTTCCAAAGTCTGAAAAATCATTGAAATTTGAGTCATTTACTCATAAAAAACTCAAAAACTCATCCAAAAAACGAATGCCTTTTTTTGTTTAATCACCTCGACAGTCGTTCTATCTCTGGGAATTAAAAAGTCGCCCATTTCAATCATTTCTTTTGGAGCAATCCATTTGGGAATTGTCAATGGATTCTGGAATAAAGTTTTCAATAAATTTCAATAAATTTCAATAAATTTCAATAAATTTCAATAAATTTCAATAAATTTCAATAAATTTCAATAAAAACTTTTACTTTATACAATAAAAACAATTACTTGTGTTGTCGTGCTTTTTCGGAAACCAAATTTTTGTTGCGGCTTTTTCATCTCGAATTTTGAGGGTGGTGACTGAAAAATTGTTCAAAAATCGTTCATAAATAGTTCTTTTTAAAAAAAAATCAAAGCTTTTGTACTAATACTGAGACTAAGAAAAGAAACTTTTGTCTTCAACTCTCCAGTTGTCGTTGCAGGTGTTGTTGTTGTTTGCTAAAAGTAGAGTTCATTTGATCACGAGCTTGGCTGTTCAACTTGTACTGACTGTTCAACCCGTACTGTTCAAACTGTACAAGCAATAAAGTAAGGAATGGCAAAGAAAGATTCCGAGGCAAGGTTCCGATATGGCAACTTTGGTTAAACTTATAGCAAAGCTAGGCTAGACTAGACCAGGCTTAGCCCGGCTTGCCTGAGGTTGGGCCAGGGTTGGGCCAGGGTTTGGCTAGGGTTTGGCCAGGGTTTGGCCAGGGTTGGGCCAGGGTTTGGCTAGGGTTTGGCCAGGGTTTGGCCAGGGCTGGGCCAGGGTTTGGCCAGGGTTGGGCCAGGGTTTGGCTAGGGTTTGACCAGGGTTTGGCCCAACCCTGGCCCTATAAAGTTAACTCTTATTGTTGAAACAACTATCCATTACCAGTATTTAGTTTATAGGCTTTGGTTCACTAGATTTTTTTTATACAAAAGTTCTCTCTCTTTAAATCCAAATTAACTAATCAGCTAGAACAGCCTTTCAGCCTTTCATCCCTTCAGCCTTTCAGCCTTCCAGCCTTTCAGCCTTCCAGAACAGTTCAAAGAGCTCATTCTATAGAATCTGTCTTCCTAACAGCCAGATAAACCTAGAGTTTACTGTAAAGTACCGTAGTAGTTGAAGGAGTTGTAGTGGTGGGTTGAGTTGTCGACATTTCTGTAGTTATGATTTCAGTTGTTGTAGTCGTGGCTTCTGTCGTTGATTCCATAATTTTCTCTCTCAACTCGACATTTTTCTCAGCCGGTTCTTGTTCAGCCGACGCAGGTACTCCCATTTTTACCAAACCCTGCTTGAGGTTCTCAAAATCGTCATTTACCTCATCAACTACCGTAGTTTCAACTGGGTATACGGTAGTTTTCTGGAGCTTATCAAATACTGTAGTTCTTTCCGGGTATACGGTAGTTTTCTGGCTCTCATCCCCTACCGTAGTTTCGCCTTCAGCTTCAGTTTTTAGAGTCATCTCAGTTACCCCACTATCTCCAGGGTGTACTGTAGTCTTCAAAGGTACTGTAGCTTCCGTTTCTATCTGGATTACTGTACTTTTCCGTGTCTCATTGCCTACTGTAGGTACCGTAACCACTCTGGATACTGTAGCTAGCTGGGTTACTGTAACTGGATCACTTTCCACTACAGTACTCTTTACGGTAGGTTGAGTACTTGTTACTTTGTCCACTGGAGTCATTGGACTCATCGTTTTCCTCGGTTCGCTCTTGAAAGCTGGCTGGCTGGCTGGCTCAAAGTGAATCCCGTCGAAATCGAGCTTTGATAAATCGACCTCAACTGTGTTTCCCCGTTGTGACTCAATGGCGGTCATGAGTGCTTCTAAACTGATCGTTGGCATGGTTCCGGGGGAAATCCTTGTTCTGCTAGTGCTTTGTGGAGTTTTTGTCGTTGTTTCGACTGTTGTTGCGGTCTAAATTTGACAATTTTCAAGCATACCTATTGTTAGGTCTTTCAATTCCAAAACTGAACCTTATTTTCCACGGGTTCATCGGGTAGAGGAACGGCTTTCATTCCACTCGGTGACAATGGATCAGGCAAAAGCAGGAATTGCAATTTTTCTCCGTTTGGCCCATTTGCCGTGTAGATAGATGGATCCTGAATGAAATTAGTTGAAGAAAAGTGCACAGAAAAGTTTTAGCATTGTTTTTAAATCTGGAAAGGTCAGCTTTTATCTAGGAATCAGAATCTGAAATCAAAATTTGTCAAATAACAAAACTTTAATCGAAAATTTGACGTCAAAAGAGATAAAAGGCTGAGACAGGGACCGAACCATGATCCTGTGGGCTGGAGTCCAATGTGTTATCCACTAGGCCACCGATGTATCTTGACTCGTGCTAAAAAGAAGCCTCTTAAAGAATCTTAAGAGGCTTCTTTCTAGCGGGGGCCAAGTTACGTCGGTGGCCTAGTGGATAACACATTAGACTGCCGCCCACAGGATCAGGGTTCGATCCCTGGTTCGGACTTTTGAGGCCAAATTTTCGTCTTTTTTTATCTAACTTTTTACTAGACGTTGTTACTTTATAGAAGCTGACTAATTGTTTATTAGTAAGACTGATTTGATCAAATGATAGCTGTTTTCTAACTAAAAACAGACAACTTATCACTTAATTGAGAAAAATTACTTGATTCGTTGCTATTAGCTGGAGAATTGATAATAAGAGAACTCTCGAGAGTAAGCCGCCATTCATGACGGTCGGGTTAGTGGAAGTTCCTTGAAAATAACTCATTTTAGCTTCAAAAAGACCAAAAAATGGGAAAAAAGCAGCAAAAGGAAAAAAGCAGAAAAGAGAAATGATAAAGATTGTAAACTTCTATCATCTGGCGCAGGGGATTCTCTATGTTACACCTAGTTTGTTCTGCTCCAGATCCTGAATGTTTACGCTTAACAAAAGTGTTTTGTTTGATCTGTTTATCGTTTAAAAAACCTGGTTTGAAGGTTGTTTAAAAAGCAGAAAAATTTTGAAAAACTTGAAGACTTTTGGTAAACGAAAAGCAAATAATAAAAAAACTGAATAGATTTATTTTCTTGAACTTTTAGTATTTGAAAAGCTTAGAAACGAGGTGATTTCAGTGCGCTAGATGATTAGCGTTTTGACGAATGACAAATGAAGATCACTTTTGAACGACAACGAGGTGATTTCAGTGCGCTAGATGATTAGCGTTTTGACAAATGACAAATGACAAATGACAATCACTTTTGAATTGGTTAAAGCAATTGAATTAAACCAAAAAAATGATTGCAAGATTCCAAATTAACCTTCAAAACGTGAAATTCAAAATAATTGTGCTGATTGGCAGGAAAAAGAAAAAGAACTGGAAAAAGAAATGGATTTCAAATCCAGAAAATGGATAAAGAAATGAAAGAGGAACACGTTTGCCAAGAAAAATTGGATAAGCAAAGTGTTCTGGGGGAAATGAAGTCAAAAAGAAAGAAAAAGAAGCGAACAATCAAGATGGAATTGGAATAGGAAAAAGGAAAGAAGGAAAGAAGGAAAAACAAGAAGATTTATTAAAGGAAAAAGTCGAATTGGCAGAATTTCGATATGAAAACGAGGAAAGCTAGAGAATTGCAGGGAAAGGTAACAATAGAATGCTCAAAAAAGATCCACCGAAAACCATGAAACGCAGAATTTCACGCTGATTCCGAATCTGCTTTCCGTTTTTGCTACGGAACACTCTATCAAAAGTTAGATGCGTTTAAAGTTTTGTACGTTTTGTATTTTTGTAACTTTTGTAAATTTTGTAAGG